CATTGGCTCTCAAATGCAACCAAATTCACCTCGCTGTAGGGAGCAAGTAAAGGACGTGTACAGAGCGTGCTGGCTTTTGACATGGCCTCCTACTTAGAGACGCAGGAAATCCACTGACACACCCCACACCTATATCTACTGCCACGCTCTGACAGCTACTTGCCCGGGGAACAATGCGAGCTACCTAAAACCTCTGTCTGTGATCTCGTAAGCGAATCAGAGATAGTGATGGTCAGTAGATGGATGGGAGAGCTCCAGAGGCCGCCACAGTCATCTCAATGATCTGTTGGTTGTCCTGGACTCTCAGTGAGGATTCAGGGCCCCGGAGTGGTGCCCGGGGACACTGTCTAAGCAAAGAATCTCTCTCTCTTTCTCTCACATTCTTTCTCCCTTTTCTTTTTTTTTTTTTTTTAATTATAGTGGGTATATTTGAGATTTGCAGCATGATGTAATGGGGTACATATAGATAGTTAAATATTACTACAGTGAAACAGATAAACATATTTATCATCTCACATCATATTTTGTGTGTGTGTGTGGCAAAAGCAGCTAAAATCTGCTTACTTAACAAAACATCCCTAATACAATATGGTACCATTTCATTAATCATCGTCCCCGTGTTGGACATTAACTCTCTAGATTGGTTCATTCTGCATATGTGCTACTTTGTATCTTTTGACCTAAATCTCCCCATTTTCCCCAACCTTCTTCTCCCTGTTTTATTTTCTATCTCTATACATTTGACCTTTTTTTTTTTTTTTTTAGGATTTCCCAGGTGAGATCATGCGAGATTTTTCTTCAGCTTATTTCCCCTAACATCTTCTCTTTTAATTAAACCTCTTAGTAACTTTTTAAACAGAAATGTGATTTCATATTATACAGCCATTGTGGAATGTTTTTAGGGGTCGATATAAAAATTATCAGCATAACTGTTTATGTAAAAATCAAAGCAACAAGTATTTTTTAAGTTTCATCCCAACCCTCTTCGTCCACCCTTCTTGCAGCTCAGGTGAGGTCAGGAAAGTTAGAATGCAGTTGGGTCCACATTGGGTGACTAAATATGAAAACTGAAATGAATCTAAATATTAGGAGGAAACTGAACTGGTAGGTAACCCGCTGGGGTGGATAGTATTGGAATCATTTCTCTGATGACACCACATTGCCTTGAAATAGAAGCCCAGTAATCAAATAAGTTTAGTAAAATTTCTTGTGTTTACAGAGATCTAGTCAAAATGCCTCTATATTTTCCTACTTAAACATCCTAGTGGAAGTGACATTTTGCCTTTCTAATTAAATATTTGCTTACATGTGTGTGGTACAGTGTCTTTGAATGAAGCAAAAAACACTATCACACTCTTAATTTTTATAGGCATTTGACTTCTGGTTTTTCTTTCTCCCAAGGCCCCAACTTGCTATCTGTTACCTATCTTAGTTGGATTATCAAACTCTGAAAATCTTATCCCCTGTGCATAACAAAAATGAGCTTGGAAATGACAGCACTGGATTAGATGCACAATTCCGATTAAGCCATTTGTCAGTAGCTTTTTGCCTTAGGAAAGGTGCATAGCAGTCTTTGGTTTCCTTGCCTGAAAAATGAGAATATACCTGCTGCCCAGTTCACGGGGTTGTTGAGATAACCAGTCAGACACATTAGGATGGCAGGACCACACAGAATATAGCAGCACAGATCTGAGAGTCCCAGGGGCCGCAGTTTGGGCTCTGGTACTATCACTCACTCTGTGATCTTGGGCAACTAACTGAACTTCTAAGCCTCACTTTCCTCATCAAATAGGTGTAATGATAATGCTTACCAAAGATACTTTTTCCGAGGGTTAGATAACAAGCTGTATGTCAAATACTGAGCATCTGTGATAATGGCTGGTGATGATGAGCTGGTCCCAGATCCCTGCTAACATACATGGAAGTGTCTCTAGGCTGTAAACCTTTGCTTCTGTGTGGCCTTGTTTCTACACCCCGTATAGACTAGCAAGTGGCGAGGTCATAGCCAGGATACTAACTACCAGGGATAAGGAAGAAGCCAATTTACAGAATCTACTGCTCCAGAGAGGAAAAATCCTCATGTGAGGCACTATCCCGGGAGGAGATCTCTAGCCCAGGGGTTGGATTTGGTTGGGCCTCAGGAAACCTGTTATCTTGCATTCTGGATATACTTCTGGTGGGCTTATCTCAAGAATCCAGAATAAATGAGCAAGGGCAGCTAATTAAATATATCCTTCTCCCTCAAATCAGCCTATGATTGCCATTGCCTTCAACTAACAAAGAAAATGCCTATCTTTTTATTATTATTATAACTATTTTTATGACCGTCAGCATAACTGCCATTATTATGAATGGCTAAATATGTAGTGAATGCTTACAAGGGACTGAGTTTGCTGACTGACTTACCATGCAGTCCCACGAGGAGAAATCTATTATTATCCTTGTTCACCAATCAGTAGAGTGAGAATAAATCGAGAGGATAACTAATTGCCAGAGTTAGCAAGCCTTACTGCTGAGACTCAAACCCAGAGCTGTGTGGCTCTGTGCTATTTCTAATTCCTTTGCTACCTCATATATATTAACAGCTAGGGTTTAAACTCAACAGAGCACTTGAGTTTAAAATCTATGCATTACACTTCCTTGTATCTACCCAGCACCCAAGCCAGGCAAAATCAGGAATTAGATGATCAGTGAATGCCATTTCCATTTTGTAGACTCTTACCAAGATCAAGCAGAAGTCTTCTCTTTTTAAGGTGAGAAAGATGCTAGTCAAATTAATACTTAGCCAAGTCATTCTAGTTCTGGTGATTTAGGAAACTAAGATTTTTAAATAATGGAATCATCTTGAGACCCATTTTTTGAAAAAATGGAAACCATTGTTATTTGCACTTTTTCTTTTTTTTTTTTTAGAGACAGAGTCTCACTTTATTGCCCTGGGTAGAGTGCCATGGCGTCAGAGTTCACAGCAACCTCCAGCTCTTGGGCTTAGGTGATTCTCTTGCTTCAGCCTCCTGAGTAGCTGGGACTACAGGCACCCACCACAATGCCCGGCTATTTTTTTGTTACTGTTTGGCCAGGGCTGGTTTTGAGCCCGCCACCCTCCGTATATGAGGCAGTGCCCTACTCACTGGGCCACAGGTGCTGCCCCGTTATTTGCACTTTTACTTATGGCCATTTGTTACTGTGTTGTTCTAGAACCCAGATAGCCTCCAAGCTCCTGTCCCTTCCACTCTCGGCCTCGGTTGAGTGAGGATGGAGAAGAGGCTCAGGTTGGAAGCAGGGAGCACCAGTGTTGGTCAGTCTGGGCCCAGTGGCCTCACCTCTGCCCTGTTCCTCCCATGCCTAGGAAAGCTACCTCCTCTCCTTCCCCTGCCCCTGGGCTGCCTCCCTTAAAGCAAGAGGGCTGTACCCTGACAGTTTACTCAGCACTTTCAGGGTCTTTCCAGCAGAAATGAGCTTCTGCTCAGCTCGTCCTGTCTCTTTTAAAAACCAAAATAAATTATTTGGGTTGATATTCAATGTGCCAAAACACAAACAACAAAGCCTTATATTATAGAACAGGGTGTGAACTTTAACCTATGGAAAAGTTTTGGTTCGCCTGTATGCTGTGTTTTATTGTTTCAATATGCATTCTCACCTGGTTTTTACATGCAAAGGAAGGTTTCCTTAAGCATAAACATAATTTATTGTCATTAATCCTCTTGAATAAATAGATGAAGTTGAGTATAGAACTATAGGTAGAGTTTTTAAAACACGCATCAACAAAAACTATAGGGTTTACGGTATAAACAAGCTCATTTGAGTGTGTCACGTTCGTTATGTAGCGACTAGAAGGACAGGTTGAATGAAAAGCCCTTATTGGATTTGCTCTATTCCATCTTGCGGGTGCAGCCTTAATTGCACATGAGAAGAAAGTGCGTCAGGCTGCCATGACCACTCTAGCAGCCTGCTCCAGAGAAATATCAAACAAATGTATGTCAGAGCTCACCTCATGGGGAGGCCTGGGGGGGACACTGAACACTTTTCCCTATTTACTATTCAGTCAAAATACCAGAGAGAAAGATGTCTATATTATAGCGCCTCCACAAAAGGAAACAATCACTCATACTTTAAAAAAAAAAAGTGAATTGTAGTTGTATTGTAATGAATTGCAAACCTCAGGACAAACTGCAGTGAGCTCTTGAGCAACTTGCAAAGGTAACAGCAGACTGGATCCCAGCAGTCAGGATAGTTCAGCCTTGGGTAATCAGAAGACTGGCAATTTGAGGTAACCCAGGGCTCCCAACATCACTTACTCATAATGTATCCCAGTGGTGCTGCATATACTGATTGCCCACCTCTCTGAGGATGTGTACAGTCAACAGCTGTTTATCTACAGCCCGTTTCTTACCTAGCACCAAGTTATACCATCGAGGTAATGGAATCAAGACCAGTTGTAATATTAGCTTAAGAAAATTAGAAAGGTAAATATGCTGGACTGAGGAGCCAAATAGAAATTCCTTCTGGATTATGTGCACTTGTGGATTACCAGTTTACCTATGTGGTTAACACCCTCTGTCAGTGTGGATAAGCCAGAACTGGATACAGTGATTTACATGCTGAAAGTGGTGATAGTTATTATAGAACATCGGTTTCACTAATTCCACCAAAGATGTTTTTTCTTTGCCAACTATCTTTTTCTATAAAGCCCATTGCTATGCATGCAATTTTGTTACTTTGGGGGTTTTCTAATTTTAAAAGCACACCTAATGGGGACAGTGCTCACTACCTGGGTGAGGGGCACTCAACCTTGTCTCACACTATGTACAAAAGCAATTCATGTCACCAAAACATTTGTACCCCTGTAGTATTTTGAAGTAAAACCATAAAGCACAGATCTAGGCATGATTATTTGGGGAAATACTCACTAATAATTCTGGCTTGAAAGGAAACTAATATGTAATTTACTGTGTTCCGCAGTCCCAGAGATGATTTTTCTGGCTTGCTTCTGTCTTCTGTAGCAACCGTCCACCATGGCTTATGCAAGACACATCATTAAGAAGGAAGGCCTGGGACTCCAGGGCCTCAACAAAGGATTTACGGCAACTTTGGGACGTCATGGAGTTTTCAACATGGTTTATTTTGGCTTCTACCACAATGTCAAAAACATTATTCCTGTCAATAAGGTAACAATTTAAGAGATTAACATCCTGGCGGAAAAGTCCTATCAATGATGACAGTTCCATTTGTAGAATGTTTATTGTGTCCCAGTGACTGGGCTGGACACAGTGACTAATAATGACCCTCCTGTCAACCTTATGTCTATTTCGAATCTAGAAACTGGAGGTTTAAAGATCAAGATCACACAGTGAGTAGTAAAGCAGAGACTTGACCCCAAGTCTGATACTAAAATTTGTCTTCTTAAAAAATCTGAATATAAATGCTTTCCATCTATCATTAATGTCTAGTGGGTATATTACTACTTAATTTTTATCTCAGAAGCCTAACGTTCTCAAGAAAGTGGAAGGTTTCATATTCTAAACAAATGTTGTACTCATGGGGAAAACTACTGGCCTAAAATTTAAATTTCAGCTAGAAATTAATGTTCACAATCGCTGAGGTAAACCAACTTTTCTGTAATCATTTGCTTTTTTTTTTTTTTTTTTTTTTTTTT